GTTGGAAACTCTCCTTGCCAGCAATCTCGTCTCCACTGTGAACAGCAGGTTGGATCTTCACTAGTAAGCAGCGCCCGATCGTCTCCCCCAACTTCGACTTTAGCCACAGCCATGCAAGGAAAGTTCTTCTTTTTTCCCTATTTTGCTAAATTAATTAGCATGTTACTATTGCATATATGCGTGAAATTTTCATACATGCATGCAATAGACACCATCTAGGTCACTAGCTTGGGCCAATGACCAGGATGGGCTAAATCTAGCCTAAAAAAAAAATTATTTTAATTTTAATTTTAATTTTATAGATTTATTTATTGGCATCAGAGTCGGGAATACCATGCTTTTCGGGTTACATAATATTTACCAACACTACAGTTAAAAATAATCATTGACAAATATTTACCAACACTAAAGTCAAGAATATTATAGATGGGCCACAAAAAATGGAATAAAGACAAACTCATAGCAATTTAAAACAAAACCATCAATATAGCCTGCCTCAAGTAAAACGCTTAAAGGATGATAATATCTTCCCTCTCATGTAACCAACCATGTACCACATAATCTTTATAAGTTAGGGTTTATAGTGACCACATTACTAAGTGATGACTCTTTAAATAAGATCATTCCCCTAACGAACAAGATGTCAAATATCTATTTTCTTTCCATAAAAATAATTTTTAATCTGTTGCTGCAATGTCCGGGTTACAAAGGAGATTATGCTAGAGTCTAAAGGCCCCTATTAAAGATTTGTAGGTAGAAAATGAATGTTAGAGAGAAAATTATTTTATATTATAAGGTGATTTATTGGACTCTAAAGAGCCCTTTGATCCATCCATTAAAGAGCGGTGTTATTAAACTATGAAGATGCTAGTCAATCCCTTCCAAGATTAGGGATGCCACGGGTACTAAAATCTGTTATGGTGGTAAAACTTGATTTTTGTTCTCTAAGTAAACAACACATCATGAATGATTAGCTAAATTTTATTGATGAGTTGTTAGAAGTCTGAACGGTAAAAAATGCTCATGGTAACTAGTAGATCCATCAAACTTTCTAGCTCAAGCGTGTTATGAAATGATTTGGAAATGTCATTAGAAAAAAGTGATAGCTTTTTTATTAGTTTTTCATAAATAACGTCAATATTGATGTCCTAAAAAATCCAAGTAGCTTAGAGGCAAGACTTATGTCTTAGATAATTGATTAATCTCTTGATTCTAGCATTTTGATCCATTCTTTCTAGAAAAGATAGTTATAAATGAGAATCTAATACCTGTAAAATGTCATTTTTGGTAAATGCAAGGACTCTCAAATGATTAAGTCAATGATATTTTTTTATAAAAAATGGAAATTTCAAATCTTTGTTTAAAGGATTTAGGGTCTATTTATAACTCATGATTCTTTTTATAGAGAAAAGGAGCTAAGGTATAATATTATCATAATAGTATAAAAAGAAAAAATATCTCTTACATATGTATCAATGTTGATGGGAAATATCCCTGACATATGTATTAGTATTGAAGGGAAATATCCCTAATATATATGCAGTAATAAGGAAAAACATATCACTGACATATGTATTAATGTGGATGAAAATGCAATGGACCCTTAAATAACTTTTACATATTATCTCTTACACAACATTAATATATAAAAAAATATGGTGGGTCTTGAATGATTTTTATACATCTAATAGATGCAGGGAGAGTAAGATAAAAAATATAGTTGCACATAAAAAAGTTGGGTCCTTTCATTGGTTAAGCTCAAGGACAGTTGGGTTTTATGGGAAGTTTTATAGGACATTAAATTTAGTTTTATAAAAAAAAATTACTTTTTATAAATTGTTTTCATTAAATTTCTAGCTATAAAAAAATCCCTTTCTTTTTAATGGTAGAAAAGCTTCCTACACTAAAAATGATAATTAAAACTATGCAACAAATATTTTTCCATTTCTGTCAGACATGGAAGCTACAAATTGTTTTAGGTCAAATCTAAAATATATGTATTATTTCTCATGTTCTTTTGTTTTCTTTATATAAAAAGATTTCTCTATTTTCAAGCATTATGACACATCCATTATCAAGAATACTAATTATTTTTCAAAAGAATAATAAAAAAAACAACTAAACTAGATAGTAATGCATCGATAAATCCAAAACCCTATCCTATATGGGTAGTACCCATATAATTCACTATCTTTCACTTGTCTTAAGATTTGATTTCAAAATCTAACTTTTTCTCTTTTGTTTAACAATGTTTGTTTTCATTGTATAACTTTAGAGTTTATATTTTTAAATATAAATAAACTAAAAGTTATTTTAGAACACATCATTTATAGAACTATGATATATTCTCTTCATTCAATTTTAACCATAAAAAATACTTAGAACTTACCATATAATCAGTGGTAGACTTACATTTTAAGCTATAGATACTATAACACCTTGAAATCTTATAACATTTTCTACGTTTTGGTTTAATACATCTTGCCATGACACTTGTCGTACTTTTATAGATGTTGTAATAGGGGACTAAAATGTATGTCATGAAAAATTAGAGGTGTCACCTTATAATTAGAGTAAACTAGAAATCCTAAAGATAAACACTGGTTCTAGAGATTCAGGTAAGATGTTAATTATGATTAAAGAAAGAATAACATCACCTTTATATCATCCTTTCTTACAAAAAGATACCTTTATTATGTATTTTCTCTTAAATTTATCTTTTTGATTGTCATCAATTATCCTGATTATTTTTATCCTTTTTTATTTTTTTATTTTTTTTATTTCATGGAAAATTTGATGTTGTTCCTTAAAAATAAAAGACTTATCAATTTGATTATTCATAAAAGCTAAATCTTGACATCGATCCCTTTTAAAAGAAGACTTATCATTTTGGCTATTAAGGAAGAATTTGTCATTGATCTCCTGGAAAAGAGACTTGATTTTTATATTGATATTGATTCATTCTTATAAAGAGAAGACATTTTAATTAAGGTTTTTTTTTTTTTAAGTAGGTGTTAGACCTGTAAAGATGGTAAAAGGATTTTAGATTGGGCTCCTCTTATTTATATATTTGAAGTGCATTGTTTGACATTTTCAACATGTTTTTCATTAAAATTTAAAATTGTTTTGATATGCTAATTTTAAAAAATAAAAAAGTATTTTAATGTATTTTTAAGAAAATATTTTTGAATAATAATTATTATCATACTCTTAGATACCTTAACCACACAAGCTTTGTTATTTGGAGCTCATGTGGAGAATGTTTAGGAATGTCCTGCAAACTGTGTTTCTAAAAAAGTTAATTTTTTTATTAAAAATTAATTTTTTTATATGTTTTAGATCGTGTTAATGCGTTCATCTTAAAAATAATTTTTTTAAAAAATAAAAAAAATATTATTTTGATATATTTCAACATGAAAAGCAACTGTAACCACATTTCCAAACAGTTGGTATTATAGTAGTGGTTACTTTTGAAAATATTTTTTACTTGAAAATATATTAAAATAATTTTTTTATTTTTAATATCAGGATATCAAAACAATACATAAAAAATATTAATTTAAAATAAAAAAAAAATTAAATTTAAATTTTTTTAAAATATTTTTATAACACAAATAAACTGATATATCTATTAACCTACAAAAAGCAAACTGTGGAGAGCTCACAAGGATTTACCGCCGTCAATTCCGTTAATTAGAGGAGGACACTTGCCCCAAACGCTGCTGCCAAACAGTAGGACACCGTTATCTGACGCCGCCAGGTCTGTCCCCTCTCAATCTCAAAGCCGCGTAAAGCGGGTCCCAAAGATCGTTTGGTCCCAGCACAGCAACCATTACCCTTCTAGGACAGAAAAAGAAAAAAAAGAAAAAAGAAAAAAAATGAAAAAACCTTACGCTAGAACATATTTGCCTTATTTATAAATTATTAGTTTTGTGCTATAATTTGTTCACATTCTCAAATTAGCTGTATCTTTTTTTTTTTATTATTTAACGATAACATATATTATTAGATTAATTTACACCTTTATAAAATCAATATTCTTTCTTCAAATAACCAAAAAAAGAAGATGCAAATATCCTTGAAAACTGAACCAATTTCTCTAGAATTAGCTTATAACCTGTTAGCATTAGTATTTCGTCAACAAAAACATATTTGATCTAATAATTTAAAAATAAATAAATCAAAAGCTGGTGCCATGGAAGAATTTAATCAAGATATTATGAAGATAGAAGTGTACATGTTCAAGGTGACCAAAACAATATTAGGTTTTAAGTTTTACGTATATATAAAACTTCTTTTCAATATTTCGCTAGCATTAAGAGTGAACTTAACTCTTCTTAACAAGCAATTAATTTCTTGTTTTTTTAAGAGAAAATCCTTATTTGTAAACTAGCCTCACTATTTTTTTTTTCAATATTCATGGATTCAAAATAATTTTCATCCTCACAGTTAAATTCCCATCCAAAATTTATTAAACATACAGACATATATATTTTTGTTGGTCTTCTTTAATTTTTAAATTGATAATTTTAGAATGTATTTGAAAACAGTATAAATTATATTCCCTTAAATTTTGATATTTTTACTTAAAATAATTTTTTAAATATTTTTAAATCGTTTTAATATTTTAAAGTTAAAAATTATTTTTAAAAAACAAAATTTTTTATTTTAATATATTTTTATATAAAAAATATTTTAAATTATCGTTACTATCACAAACCAAAGTTTTTTTTTTTTTGATTTACGTGGGGTGTCCAGACCAGCTTACGCGCATTATGATTAATCCTCACAGCCCACTGAACATCCTGCAAGCCCAGTAAGCAGATAAGGCACCGCGGGGATGACAAGACTCGAACTCAGTTACGGAGTAAAGGAACATATCGAAGTTTTTTATATGTGTGAAGAGTGAACTTCACCACCTAAATCAACAACTTAAACGTTAGTATTAATTAAGCAATAATAATAGATGGTCGTCTCTTATGAAAAACAATTAAAATACAAGCTGTGAAACATGAATTCAATGAACTGGTAGAGAGACCTCACTTTACAGGGACATTCATGTAACATGACTCATGGCAGTTTCTGTTAGTGAATTCCAATCTTAAAAAATATACTAAGTATCTAACTCAAACCAGCAATTATCCTTAAAAAAACAATAACAGCTAAGTTTTGTGTGAGGGAGATTTTATTTTGAATGAAGCAAGAAGTTTCATATCCCTTCTCTTCTTCTTGTGGGGTCCTCCTTTTTCACAGGTTAAGGACAGCCTCATCACCAGCCTGGAAAGGGTTGTTATAGCATTAGCTGCCCACTAAAAAGCTCTTTGCTTGATGGGCTTTCACGGCGACATTCATCAAATATCAACTGGACTTTGATCTCTGGCTTCATCCCAATTCACTCTCCCTCAGTTTCTCTCCTTTTTGGTTTTCTTCTTGAGGTAAGAGTGTATATTTCAGCAAAAAGTTTTTGTCTTTGCAATAATGTAGATTGCATTCTTTTGTACTTAATTACTGTTTTTTTCATAGAGCTAAGCTTGGTTGAAGTTGGTCTAGATAGATCTGAGGTTTGTGAGGATATTGTTTTTGAGGCATTTAGTGATCTGGGAGCTAGTTCCTAGCATTTGGGTTCTTAAGGCTCAGGGATTGGGGTTTGGGAGCTAGGCAGTTCTAGTTTTCGTTTTCTTTTTTTTTCTGTGATTTGGGACTTGTGCATTATTTGGCTTGCTAGGAGCTCGAGGGTTTGGGATATTGCAAATGGTGAGCATGAAACTAGTGAGCTGGTTACCTGTAGTTGTTGCTTGTGTTTTATTTGAGTTCCTTGGTCATAGTGGATCATGTGCTGCATTCACTCCTCCTGATAACTACTTGGTGGCTTGTGGTTCTTCACAAAGGGTCATCTTCCAAGGAAAAACTTATGTTCCTGACTCAGGGCATTCTTCTCTCACTTTAAACACTGGAACTTCTGTTGTTGCCAAGTCCAATTCTAGTTTCCCATCTCCTATCTACCAATCTGCTCGAATTTTGTCAGGCATATCGTCTTACAAATTTGATATTAAGCAAGAAGGCAGGCATTGGATCCGTCTTTATTTTTACCCTATTCCAAACTCAGGCCAAAACTTGATGTCTGCGTCGATCACTGTAGCCACTGACGATTTTGTACTTTTGAACAATTTCACATTCAAGAACTATAATGGTTCTTACATGTTCAAGGAGTACGCAGTCAATGTGACTTCTGATACTTTGACCCTTTCCTTCATTCCTTCAAACAATTCTGTCACATTTATTAATGCAATCGAAGTTGTTTCTGTCCCTGATGAAGTCTTTCCAGACCAGGCAGTAGCTATAAATCCATCTACCCCTTTTAGTGGTCTTTCTGAACTTGCCTTCGAAACTGTTTTCCGGTTAAACACTGGAGGTCCGTTGATCACTGCAGAAAATGATACTCTTGGAAGAATTTGGGAGAATGATGCCAAATATCTCCATGTGAACAGCTCTGCATTGAATGTTTCAGTTAACCCTGCATCCATAAGATATCCACCTGCTGTCACTACTGAAATAGCACCAAATTGGGTTTATGCCTCTGCTGATGTGATGGGAGATGCAAATGTAGCCAACATGAACTTCAACATAACTTGGGTGTTCTCTGTCAATCAAAACTTCCGCTATTTTGTGCGGGTACATTTCTGTGACATTGTGAGTAAGGCTCTGAACAATCTTGTGTTCAATCTGTACATAAATGATGATAATGCCGTTGAGAGTCTTGACCTCTCAACCTTTACTGGTGGCTTGAGTGTACCCTATTACAGAGACTTTGTCTCCAATGCTTCAGTAGATTCAGATACTTTCACTGTAAGTGTTGGTCCAGATTCAACAACAGATTTGGCAAATGCAACTATGAATGGGCTGGAGATTTTCAAAATCAGCAATGAAGCTAAAAGCTTGGATGGGCTTTCATCTGTTGAGAGCCTCCTTCCTCAATCACCATCGAAGAAAAACAAGATTGGAATTATCATTGGTTCGATTGTTGGAGCTGTGGTTGCATTTGGTTTGATTGGTCTCTGTTACTGTTGCTTGGCAGCACAAAGGTCAAAGACTACTACTCACCAGGCACATCCATGGCTGCCATTGCCATTATATGGAAACTCTCAGACCATGACCAAGATGTCCACAACTTCTCAAAAGAGTGGAACGGCAAGCTGCATCTCATTGACTTCCTCTAATCTTGGTCGGCTCTTCACATTCCAAGAAATCCTTGATGCAACGAACAAGTTTGATGAGAGCCTGCTTCTTGGGATTGGCGGCTTTGGCAGGGTGTACAAAGGAACCCTTGAAGATGGAACTAAAGTAGCTGTCAAAAGAGGAAATCCCAGATCCGAACAAGGTCTTGCTGAATTCCGAACTGAGATTGAAATGTTATCGAAGCTTCGCCACCGTCATCTTGTCTCTCTTATTGGCTATTGTGATGAGCGGTCAGAAATGATTCTTGTCTATGAATACATGGCTAATGGACCCCTTAGGAGCCATCTATATGGAACTGATCTTCCACCTCTATCATGGAAGCAACGACTAGAAATATGCATTGGGGCTGCCAGGGGCCTGCATTATCTCCACACAGGTGCCACTCAAAGCATTATTCACCGAGATGTCAAGACAACAAACATTCTGTTGGATGAAAATTTCGTGGCCAAAGTTGCTGATTTTGGCCTCTCAAAAACGGGCCCAGCTCTTGATCAGACCCATGTGAGCACAGCTGTTAAGGGTAGCTTTGGTTACCTTGATCCTGAGTACTTCAGAAGGCAACAACTCACAGAGAAGTCAGATGTGTATTCATTTGGAGTGGTTCTAATGGAAGTTCTCTGCACTAGACCAGCTCTAAACCCTGTTCTCCCTAGGGAACAAGTCAATATAGCAGAGTGGGCAATGACCTGGCAGAAGAAGGGCATGTTGGATCAAATCATGGACTCCAATCTAGCAGGTAAGGTGAATCCAGCTTCTCTCAAGAAATTTGGGGAGACAGCTGAGAAATGCCTTGCAGAGCATGGAGTTGACAGGCCATCAATGGGAGACGTCTTGTGGAATCTTGAGTATGCTCTTCAGCTTGAGGAGACCTCATCTGCGCTCATGGAACCTGAAGATAACAGCACAAACCATATCCCAGGCATTCCGTTGACACCACTTGAACCATTTGATAACAGCGCAAGTGTAATTGATGGAGGGAACTCTGGAACAGACGATGATGCTGAGGATGCTGCCACTAGTGCTGTATTTTCTCAGCTAGTAAATCCTCGTGGAAGATGAGGAGGCTTCCACCCATTCTTGGACAAAGGGCATTCTGGTGAAGATTTGGCTGTCTGGTCACCGAGTGTTTGTGATAAAATGGGAAGTGAATGAGCTAAGGTTATCTCTTATCACATTGTTCAATTTTTTTTTTACCTCAATTTATCTTCCATAGCTTGTAATATTGTTCAGCGATGGATGCGAATGAATCCATCTGAAATTGCAAGTTACCGTAAGGGCTTGATCTAAAATTCTTCTGGCTTTCAGCTGCCACGTTATTTATTTTTCACACAATTACTGGAGATATTCAATGTATTGCTTTCACAATATTTATATCCACAGATTGATTATAGAAATAACTCACAGCTCACTGTCTCAGTAATCTGATTCATTTTCAATGCTTGATTATGTGATGTCTTATATATATGCTGCTACAATACTCTGACTACTACTATACATATTTTCTTTATGTGGAGAACTTGATTTTTGTGAGCTCATTCCCAATACTGAGATTTAATCTATTCTCCAAAACTTTCATCTTCTAGCTCTTGTGGTTCAGGGAAAAAAAAAAAATCTATATAATCTTTTATGTGATAAACTGCAGTTTATGCAGCAAAACCTCAGGTTGCCTTACATTTTTTATCAACACCATGTCTCGCTATCTCAGCATTTATTCAACTTCCTGAGTTAGTTAATGAAGAGAACAAATTGACTCAACAGGAACTCAGAAACAGGCAAGCTTCTGTTCAAGGCGAAAAAATAAAATAAAAAAGAGCTTAGATAATAACTTATGGACGATGTACATCCTATTATAAAATAACATAAATTATATTTTGAGATTTTATATAATAATTTAAATTTTTAAATTAAATTAATTTTTTATATGATATTAAAACTTTAATAATTAAGCAATCACGAGTTTTTTAAATTAAATTAATTTTTTATATGATATTAAAATTTTGATAATTAAACAATTATGAGTTTAAATTTTATTATTTCTATTTATTTGATAAAAATTAAAAATAATATAATAAGACTCTGTACAAGTTTTAAACTTAAAAAAATTTTATTTGAAAAAATATATTAAAAAATAATATAAATTATATTTTAAAATTTTAAATTTTTTAATTTTAAAATTTTACTTAATAATTTAAATTTGTTAGTTTAATTAATTCTTTAACACGGTTACGTTTTTTTGCTCAAACTAAGACGTAAGAGAGGATTGTTGTTGAGTGAGCTGGACTCTAGTACATGGTCTATTAATTAATCCTGGACTGTGTGAGTTTTTCTACACTGGATAGGCTGCAGAAAGAGCATATTCGCTTAAAGCTTGCCCAGTGTAGGCCCAAAGTTAAATGCTTTTAACCCTGATAATGTTCATTGAAGTAGAAGCTTTCAAAGATGACTTAGGTTGACCGTGGATCGGATATAATAGAATTTAGATATCTTTATAATTTTTTTTTGATTGAATTGAATTAGCATTTGCTAATTGAAAGTGGAAAACAAGAAAACTCAGCAAAATTTCTTTTTTTTTCTTCAAAATTAACAAAAAAAATCCTTAAAGAAAGCTACTATATAGACATAAATTACTATTCATTATAATAATATAATTATAATTTGATCCTAAAAAAATACAATGTACTTAGCTTTGAGAATAAAATTATTTTTTTCACTATTATAACTTGTCTATTCATTATTAGTTCTTTAAAATTGATTTTCTAAGGTTATATTTAATTAGGGAAGTGTTAAGCATTTTTGAGAAAAATAAAAAAATAATAACTTATCATGTTGTTATGGATTTAGTCAAAACAAAAAAAAATGATAATTTGAACATAAATGACCCGCGGGCTTAGATTAAGCCCAAACACGACTAGATTGTAGCCTAGACCAATTTAAGCATTTTTTTTATTTGATTTTTTTAATATTTTTTAATTTTGAATTTATCAATTTAAACAATGCTATGATTGTTTATGGTTTTTAACAAAATATTTTTATGTGATTTTATGTGTACTAAATTTATTATACTATAATTTGTATACTTTCAACTATTATAATTTTTCTAGAAAAAAATTATTATTAAGAAAAATAATTATTCATAATATAATGAATAGAAAAATGTTTTTATAAAGAAAAAACACAAATTAATATGTATGTTCTTATTTGAAATTAAAATATATTTTTATTATACATCAATCAAAGAATAATTAAAATATATGTCAAAAAATATTTAAACACACTTCAAGCAAAACATATATAAAAAATAAATTAAATAAATTTTGTTCCCAACATTCTATCTTTCTACTATCTCATTATCTCATTTATATAGAGATATGTCATAGTAGTAGTAATAATATAATTATTATTATTATCATCACTATTTATTTTTTTATTTTTTTATAAAAATAAAATGCTTTGTAGTTTAACTATAAATACTCATATTTTATGTGATGTAATCTTTTAATTTTTATTATATAATCTATTATAAATATTTACATAATATATTTATTTAATCATGTATTTCATTTCTTTGCAAAATAATCAACACAGATAGTTGATTGTATTTTGTTACATGCTAGCTTCAAGTTATTACATAAGCTAGTCCGATGACACTTCTTAAGTATTGTTGAAAAAAAATAAATTTTCGATTATAATTTTCATTGCTAGAAAAAAATGTGATCGCCCAATGTAATCACTCCAACTCCATGCTTCCACGATCACCATTACCACCTTGCTCTTGCTCCTCTATCATCAACAATATTGCCTTTTTTTCCATTTCATAACTACCATCCCACAACAATCCATGGAAATAACTATTTTATTTTTATAAAAAATATTTTTCTTAACATATAAAAAAAGAAAAAAATTACTAATTTTTCAATAAAACATTTTACAAAAATAATATTAAAATAATTTAATCTTAATTAAGTTAAGTTAAGTTAAGTTAATATGGTCAATTTGTTTTTAATTAATTTAAATGTATATTGATTTTTTTTAACTAACATGACTTCATTTGTTTTTTCTTATTATATTTACAACTTTTCTCCTTAAAAAAAATATTTTCACCAACATTTTTTTTTTAAAAAAAAAAACGCCATTGTAGAATTTGCCTTCGTCTGAACTCTGACATGAAGAATGTATTTCCTGTGCAAATAAGTTTGCATACCAAGTTACAGACATACTTATCTTTTTCTTTTTTATACATAAGAAAGGAAGCAAAAAGAAAAGATAACTAGGACGTAAGCGAGAAGGGATGTTGTCCTATCCACAACTGGTATGGCCACTCTTAGCTTTGCTGGCTTCTTGAAATCTGGAGGTGAGTCCTCCTGCCAATTACTCCTTCAACATTCGTCGATAGAACACAGAGCTAGAACTGAATCTCTAAGTGAGCAAAACAGTTATCAATTTTGTTATCTTGTTTGGTTACTGGCGCAACATTGATTGAGATCTCTGCAACTTTGGGAGAGTGACTTGGACTCTGTTTTTTTTTTTTTTAAGAATTGTTTTAATTTAATAACTTAAATTATTAATTAAAATTTTAAAATATAATTTATATTATTTTTTAGTATATTTTTTCATGTAAATATTACTAATCTTATTTATTTTTATTAAATAAATAGAGATAGTAAGATTCGAACTCGTAACCAAATGGTCATTAAGGTTCTGATATCATATCAAACAGTCATTTCAACTTAATAATTTAAATTTTTGAGGTTTTAAAATATAATTTATAGTATTATATCAATTTAATAACTTAAACTATTAGTTAAGGTTTTAAAATATGATTTATATTATTTTCTAGTATATCCTCTCAGGTGAATATTATCATCCCTATTTTGGCACAACATTGATTGAGATCTCTGCAACTTCTGGGAGAGTGACTTGGACTATGTTCTTTTTTCATGTTAAGAACTTAAATTATTAATAAATAGGGATAATGAGATTCAAACTCGTGATTATTTTATTATTAAAGTTTTAATATCATATTAAATAATTACCTCAACTTAATAATTTAAAGTATTGAATTTTTAAAATATAATTTATATTATTATTTAATATTTTTATGTAATTTAATATGGTATGACCAGCTCTTCTCCAAAGTGGGAGAGTTTTATATGATCCATGACTTGTAACCACGTAATAGACAGTGAAAATGGGGATTCTTTTACTTACCTTGTATGCTTCTGACAGTGACTCTTTAAAGAAAGAAAATGTACTACTATAAAATCCCAATCAAAATGTACAACTTGAGGATTTGTACACTTGTATGCTTCTGACAGTGACTCTTTAAAAAAAGAAAATGTACAACTTGAGGATTTGTACTGGGACTTTCTTGATAATAGGTTAAACGGGCACAGTTTCCATTTCTTTGTTTAGTCATGCAAATCCTACAAAAAAGACGAAGTCGCTGTCCCATGTTAAATGGAAAAGTCGTCTTAAACCAACATTTTCAGGCCTTCCGACTTGATCATTCACGAGCACAGCAGTCTATATGTGACATTTTCCAATCCAAAAGAACAGTTTCCTTATATGTCATCTTGCCTGGCTGGTTGCTGAAGTTAACATCCAACATCTATTGATTACTGATTTTTCTTTTATCTCTATTCGCTAAGATTCTTTGGACAAGACACAGGCATCCACGGAGCCACCTTAATTTTTGTTCCCTGTACAAAAGAAAAGATGCCATACATGATACATGCATCCTGTCCTATAAAGATTGCCTGATCGTTCATATTGCCTTATTAATTTCCCCGGATTCTAACATATTCACACCTCCATTCCCAAGACTTTTGCCTTTGAGAGTCATGATTAAGGAAGTCAAAACTCAAGTCAATGTTAGGGTTGAGGTGGATGTCTTATGGAAAGCTTTTGGTAAGGATTTGAAGGATATTCTTCCAAAAATGATGCCAAATTTAGTGAAGGATGCTGATATTCTTGAAGGAGATGGTGGCCTTGATACAGTCTACCTCTTTAACTTCGGCCCTGGTAAGTCCATTTCTTTTACTTATTGATTATGACTTGACTTCATGTGTTCACTTGGATCATTTATTTTTTCTGAATGAATTAAATCAGCAAGAGGATGCCATCTGGACTGCTTCTCTTGATTTGCACCTGTGATGGCTGTAACAAATTTTTTTGGTCTCAAAATACTGTCAGGTTTAAAAACTATGACATACCAGAAAGAAAGGGTTACAGAGTTTGATGAGTTTGCTCATCGAATCGGGCTTGAAGTAATAGAAGGAGGGCACCTGAATCATGGTTTTTCTCATTACAAGACGACTTTCCAGCTTACTTCAACTGGAGAGCAGGAGACCCTAATTGATGTCACAATCTCATATGAGTCTCAAGTTGAAGAAGACAC